TCTGGGCAGCAAACAATCAAGTGCCAGTTAACACTTCCCAAACAGAGGATGCCTCCAAGCAACAGAGGCCAGTCTACTTCTATGCATATACCCTCACTGATTGACTTTGCAGTTTCATGGCTTCTCAGTGCTATTCAAGCTTGCTAACGGCAACATTCCCACTTGATTCAAACAGACAAGGGCTCTTTTTCCCACCCTGGACATTCCAGAGATAGATAGATAGATAGATAGATAGATAGATAGATAGATAGATAGATAGATAGATAGACACTCTACTTGCTTCACTGCCAACAGAACCTCTGAAGATGCCAGCCACAGATGTAGGCAAAAAAAACAGGAGAGAATGCTGCTTGAACATGGCTATACAGCCCAAAAAAACTCACAAAAAACTCACAGCAACCCAAACTTAAAAGACTTTCCCTCATTGGCTACCAAACATTTATTATTTCTTCCTTTAAAACATTTATATTCCGCCCTTCTCACCCCGAAGGGGAGTCAGGGCGGAGCACAACATATAAACAGCAAACGTTCAATGCCGTAACATATTAGCCCATACACATACAAAAGCATTAAAATCACTTACCTTGATGTTAAAATCCACTAGTTAAAACTGTCTCAGCAACCATATCGAATCTGGTTGGCATACAGGACAAATACAGGACAAAATATTTTTCGAATAAGCATGTTTAGAGTAAGGAGCTTAACTTACATTCAACAACTATGGTCACAACTTTCCCATCAAAGCCATATGGATTAGTGGCATTGCAGTGAACCATGCCATCATGTTCTCTGGTGACAGATATTGGTATCCCAATACTATAAGATGTGCCACCTTTCTTGCATTCAACAGTTGGTGGTGGGTTTCCGTAGGCTGAACAGTTCAATGTTTCCGTGTCACCCTCTTTCCAGGTTAATGTATTAGGGCAGGAAGAAGCATTTATCCTGGGACCATCTGGAATGGAATGAAACAAACTTTGTTTATTTTTCTTTAAGTGCACCATCCATCTGTCAGGGGTGCTTTGAATGTGATTTTCCTGCTTCTTGGCAGGGGTTGGACTGGATGGCCCATGAGGTCTCTTCCAACTCTATGATTCTATCCATTCTCATGATACAAATCTGCAGCAGAAATGGTCATAACAGCATGCACTGGATGCTAACAGATCATGAGACACTGACTTGAGTGTAAAAGCTACTAAGACTCCAAGGGTGGAGCCCCCGGTGGTGCAGTGGGTTAAAGCCATGTGCTGGCAGGACTGAAGACCAACAGGTCACAGGTTCAAATCTGGGGAGAGGCGGTTGAGCTCCCTCTGTCAGCTCCAGCTCCTCATGCGGGGACATGAGAGAAGCCTCCCACAAGGATGATAAAACATCAAAAATCATCCGGGCGTCCCCTGGGCAATGTCCTTGCAGATGGCCAATTCTCCGAGTCCCCTTTGGGGTGAGAAAGGCAGCAAATAAATGTCGTAAATAAATAAATAAATAAATAAATAAATAAATAAATAAATAGAAAGCTATATGTTTTTCCTGAATGCAGATTGAGGGCTCTTTCTCCATGTAGAGAAGTGTTCATTATACTGTGTTTCAAACTGTGTTTAGGCTTTACATTGTGGCCAGGGCCTAG